GGGGGGGAGGAGGGCAGTGACAACAAGTGACGCTTGAGCGGCACCTGACAAACTTGCATGGGCCTTGTGCCCCATCAGAGTCCATACGAGAAGCATCTGCATGCTGTGCCCACAGCTACAGTGCAAAATCAGTCTGATGTCCAGGTACCTACCTGCGCTGGATGGGCTGGGGGAAGGAGGTGCCTCTCCAGGCTTGGGCTGGCCTTCCAAGGCGGTGGCTCCACCTGCAGGGAGGGGGGCCATATGCCTCTCAGTCAGCCGATGGCGCGGATGCAAATGAAAAGTCAGGACTCGCAGAACCACGCAAGCTCGGACGTGAGACCCTTTCAAGCGTCCCTCGCGTACCGAAGAGGACGAGGCGGGCGGTAGACAGGTCGCCGTCCGGGCCCGAAATGGTCGTCAGCGTGTGCCCACAGCTGTACATGAGCAGGGGATCGATGCATGTCGGGAGGATCGATACATCGCAATGAGATTGCGTAGAACGAACGGCACAGGCACCGTCCGGAAATCATCGCACCGTGGGCCGGGGTTGGTCCCCACGATAGGGAAGGGCCTGAGCCGAGGGGCGGGCATCGGGGCGGCATCTTCTAACGCTGAAGCTTCCGCATCTTCCATGAGTGGAAACTTGCCCTTTGGGCAATGGCACACGCTTCTGGGCGACTGTTGGGGGACCTTCTGCTCGCGGGGCACAACTGATCACAAGAGTCAGCGCCAGAGGGGTGGCAGAGGCCAGAATGTCCAAGATACTTACACTAGGAATGCATGGCTCTCACGATGCAGTGGCCTCCAGGTGCACATCCAGACCTCATCTGTGTGTAGGTGGGTGGAGAGCAGGCCTCTTCGCTTCGCGCTCCGGTCCCTGCTGCCAGGTCAGCACCTCCGACCTGCCACTCAATTGGAATTTGGCGTATCATTGAAGCAGGAAGATGCTGATCTACTGTCTCCACGACAGTACAAGGATTTGGGTGGGACGTAATGTGGAGAATCCCTCGGTACACGCTTTCAGCCCAGAAAGAAGACCTTGGGCACCAGGCATGCATTTTTAAAGTAAGCCTGGGTCAGGTATTGAACCAGCCCTCATTGGTTGATGCTGCAGTCCTTCCTAAGGTTTCAAGGGATTTGGTTCCCAAGTCCTCCAACCCTAAGATGTTATTAAGTGCGGGCGAAGTATTTTCATCAAGCTACATGCAAGATGATGGAATAATACAGTGCATGGGATTCGTGCATGGCGCAAGGTGGGGCTGTGGTTCCGCAAGTAGAATCGTGTGGCTAGACCCTGCCACCGCTGTCCACAGTGCCCAGAATGTGACTTTTGGATAGAAGCCTCAATTGCCAGGATGCGGTTCTGGGTCAGTCAGCAACACCTTCCCTTGTTGCGATTAAGAATGAAAGCTTGTAGATGGATGAGACCAAGGCCTGGCGTCCACGACGCCTCCGAAAACACGTCAGCATCGTTTCGATAGTTTTGGCAATATACTGGGTTCGCAACCCTCAGCACACTGAACGAGAACTGAATTTTGCAAACGGATAAAGAGCGACATGCACCGGAATGAATCCAATGCGGGGCCCCTCGCTCGCGTGAGGGTGCTGGCCAACCATCTGACCACAGGAGGTGTGCTCCGGGTTTTGCAGAGTGTTGAGGGTCGCAGACGGTCACAATCAGACTCATCACTGACTATTGAATAATTACCCCCGCCTTGTAGAGAATCAGGATTCCACGGTGGCCCGCCAAGACACCCTGGCCGTGGGAACCACCCCCCAGTTCGACCAAGCGCAAAACATGACGGTGTTCCCCCCTGCTCGGCACGACGCCCTGGAGTTGGAGGAGCTCTTCACTCCCGAGGAGAAGGCGATCAAGGCTCGCGTGCGAGCATTTGCGGTGAGCCGCGTCGGGGCATGTGTCGTCACTCTCCGGCCACGTGTCCCTCGGGGACTCTGGTGCTGGGGTGGCAAGGGAATACAGTCGACCACTCTCTGTAGAGACATACTGCCGGCAACTCGATCCCTCCTGTCCTTGTGCCAATGTGTCATTTCATCGCTGCATGACTACCATCATCTGTCTGCATGGGCCCCATCCCAGACTCCCTCCCGGTCACCCCCTTCCCCCACCGCAAAATCCTGCAGGAGCAACACGCCGCCCCCATCATCAACAAGTACTGGGAGAAGGCGGAGTTCCCGCACGAGCTGCGCTCCAAGTTCGGCGAGCTGGGCATCGGCGGCGCGCACATCAAGAGCCACGGCTGCCAGGGGCTGACCACCATGGGCGCCGCGGCGGCCATCGTCGAGCTGGGCCGCGTGGACGGGTCGCTGTCCACCTTCTTCCTGGTGCACAGTTACCTGGGCGTCATGACGCTGGGCCTGCTAGGCAGCGAGGCCCAGAAGGCCGAGCTCCTGCCGGGCCTCTCCAACTTCTCCAAGGTCGCCGCCTGGGCGCTGACCGAGCCGAGCAACGGGTCTGACGCCTCGGCGCTGACCACCACCGCGCGCAAGGTCCCGGGCGGCTGGATCCTGGACGGCCGCAAGCGGTGGATCGGCAACGGTGAGGGAGGACAGGAGGAAAGGGAGGGGAATCTGCGATGACCCGCTCCTCGACGCTCACACCTCCGCTGTTCCCTTCTGGTGCCGCCCTCTCAAGCATTTACTCAAAACCCCCTTCTCCTCCCCGCCCCCCCCCCTTCCCCACACACAGCCACCTTTGCCGATGTGGTCATTGTGTGGGCGCGCAGCAGCGAGACGGGGCAGGTGAACGCCTTCATCGTGCGCAAGGGCAACCCCGGCTTCCGCGCCACCAAGATCGAGCACAAGATCTCGCTTCGCTGCGTGCAGAACGCCGACATCCACCTGACGGGGGCCTTTGTCCCCGACGCCGACCGCCTGCCGGGCGTGGAGTCCTTTGCCGACGCGGCGGGCATGCTAGCCATGTCGCGCTGCATGGTGGCCTGGCAGCCGGTGGGCCTGGTGACCGGTGTGTACGACATGGTGTTGCGCTACACGAGCCAGCGCCGCCAGTTTGGCGCGCCGCTGGCCTCCTTCCACTTGGTCCAGGAGCGGCTGGCGCGCATGCAGGCCACCATCCAGGCCATGTACCTCATGTGCCACCGCCTGAGCCAGCTTTACGACGCGGGGCGCATGAGCCACGAGCAGGCCAGCCTGGTCAAGGCCTGGACCACCGCGCGCGCGCGCGAGGTGGTGGCGCTGGGCCGCGAGTGCCTGGGCGGCAACGGCATCGTCGCCGACTTCCTGGTGGCCAAGGCCTTTGTGGACGCGGAGGCGTACTACACCTACGAGGGCACCTACGACGTCAACGTCCTCGTGGCCGCGCGAGGACAGACCGGGTACGCCGCCTTCAAGACCGCTGGCAGGGCCAACAAGGCGCCGCCCCCAACACACTAGATGTCAGGGTGTGAGGAAGGGGGGGGGAGGGCAACGGTGCACCCACGACCCCCATGGCGGCGGCGATAGTGCCATGAAACATCAGTCTGCCGGCCCCCCATCCGTTGCCTCATGTGCAGCTCCCTTGGTGTCCTGCCGGTTTTGTCTAGGAGTCGTTCATTCTTCGCGTGTCCATTGCCCACCCTGCCTGCCTCTCGGGCGTGGCGGTGACCATTTTGTAGCAGTCACGGACTTCTTCAACAAGAAAGGAGACCCGAGGCAGGCGCTTTTCACCTTGAGGATGTCGTTCATCAGCATGTGAGAGGTGGTGTCGGCTGGCAGTTCGGTCTGCAATGCCGTGCCGAGCGCGGCGAGCGTGGTCTGTCTGGCCCTGCCTCAACACCTCCGACCTCGTTCACAGCCGGGGCTTGGCTTTGCGCGGCCGCACCCCGGTGCTCTGCCAAAAGAAGCACCAGTGGCATCTGGCACGACACCCTGGTCAGATGAGTCGTCGGTACCGCATGTAGCGCAGGATGGCGTAGAAGAAGGAGCAGCAGAGCAGGGCGGCGACGCCGTTGAGCACGTAGAAGCGCAGCACGTCGCGCGTCAACTGGGGGGGGATGACCAGGTTCTCGCCCAGGATGCCGGCCAGCAGGTTGAAGGGCGCGATGGAGAAAGCGGCGGCGGTGAGGATGATGTCCAGCCGGATCAGCTTGTTCCGCGACGCGTCCAGCTCAATGTTGATGTATTCCTCCGTGTCCTTTGGATAACAAAAGAAGGGGGGGGTGGGGAGGGGGCAAGGGGGAATGGTGGTAGCCCGGCAGGATTTGGGCGAGCCTGCCTGGCTGACCCAGTGAATGTTGCGTGTATGGGCTCATGACCAAGCCCAAGCCCAGGAACCCTCCGGCAGTGTCCCATAGGCCTTGCCGACTACCCAGCACACCAAGGCCTGCTCAACAATCCCCCTTTCCTCTCCCAACACTCACACCAATACACATACCAAAATTCCCCCCCAACGCCTCACCTTGATGTACTCATCCAGGGACACGACTTTATCGTACAGCCCATCGATCTGCATGTAGTACGACTCCAGCAGGTTCTCCACCACCTCCATGTCCGCCACCAGGTCCTCCTCGCTGGGGGGCGGGGGCGGGAGGGAGGTCTGCGGCGTGGGGGCCGCCGCGTTGAAGCCGCCCTCGCCCTGGGCCAGGCCGCTGCCGCTGCGCGCCGGCGGGCTACCCCAGGCGCCGCCGGCCGGCGCGACCATGCGCGCAAAGGGCGAGCGCCGGTTGAGGCTGGAGGAGTGGTACAACGGGTGTGACCCGGCGCGCCCCAGCCCGCCGCTGCTGCCGCCGTCCTGGCCGGCGTACCGCGGCGAGGCCTGCTCCAGCTCGCGCCGCCGCGTCAGGCACATCTTGGTCATGTCGTCGTCGTCGCCCAGGAAGCGCTCCATCTCGTCGCGCAGCGTCTCGCACCTGATGAGCAGGCGCTGGTGCCGCGTCTTCACCTTGCGCACGCGCTCCAGGGTGGCCGGGTTGATCTTGTGCGTCAACGCGTCCAGCGCGGGCATGGCCACACTCTCCAGCTCCTGCACCTGGGTGGTGGTGGCCTGCACCACCTCCTTCAGCGCCACCTCCAGCACCACCATCTCGAAGGGCAGCACGTCGTAGTCGTGGCGCCAGCCGCCGGAACCCTCGTCCTCTGACAGGCGCGCGCCCCCCGCCCCGCCCTCCTCCTCCTCCTGGCACAGCCGCGCCTCAGTCACGCGCTGGTACCGGTGCCATTCCAGGATGGCCTCCTCCAGCAGGTCCACATACCTGGGTTTTCGGATATGAGTGGGGGAGGTGTCACAGAGAGGCGGTGAGTGGGTGGGTGGGTTGAGAAGGGGGGGATGACTGAAGGGGAATGGCACCTGGTTAACAACTACAGCCTGGTCTGACCCCCATGGCGCCAACCCCCCTCCCCCCCTCCCCCCAAAAGCACAACAACCAACCTGTTGCTCAGAGGGTGGTGTTCGTAGCCCTCTCGCGGGATGATGACCTTGGAGGCGGTGATGATCAGGCGCACGTGCTCGATGGTGAAGATGATGGCATTGTCACGCACCAGAATCTTGCCGCTGGAGAAGAGGTTGAAGTCCAGCAGGCGCATGTCCCGGATGGGGATGTTCAGGGACAGGTCCTGGATCACCGCGCGCTTGTCGGCGTGGAGCAAGGAGCGCGTGCCATCGGCGTCGATGCACACCCATCCCGTCCGCCTATTGCATGGGAAGGGAAAGTGGGGGGGGGTTGGGGGAGTCTGGACCCAGATTTAGGAGGGTCAGGACCCAGAGGCA